CAAGTATCTGCCAACTACATCACATTGCATCTGTCCACAAGCCATGCATGAAAATTGGTCTATTATTAACTTCTAAGTATATAAAAACACAATCAGTTACTACCTAACATAATGAAGTACTCAATTAGTATCTGTTGACTTTAACACAGAATGATACTAAATCCAACAGGGAAGTTAAACTGTATGGATCTAAAAATTTTTTTCCTATTTATTTATTTTTAATCTTATTGTTCAAATATACTTGTCTCCATTTTTCCCGCCACCACTTTTCCCTGCCTCCTCTCTCCTACCTCCCCGCCTCAATCCTTCCCCACTTTGGCTCTGTCCATGGGTCCTTTCTACATGTTTCTTGATTTCACCCTTCCCCCTCTTCTCCCCATTACCCCCACTTCCCTCTCACACTGTAACAACTAATGCCTATCAACTAATGGATAAACAAAATATGGTATATTTATACACTGGAACATTATTCAGCCATAAAAAATGAAATACTGATACATGCTACAAGGTGGAGAAACCTTGAAAATATTACGCTAAGGCAAAGAAGACAGCCACAAAGAACCACATACTATATGATTCCATTTATAAGAAATGTTCAGAAAAGGCAAATCCGTAGAGAAACAAAGTAGACTAGTCATTGCCTAGCACTGAGAGGGCTTAGGATAAATGGAAAGGGACTGCTAATGGGCATTGGGTTTCTTTTTCATGTAATGAAAATGTTCTAAAATTAAATAGTGGTGATGGTTGCACAACTCTGTGAATATACTAAAACCCACTGAACTGTACACTTTAAATGGGTTAACTATATTTCTCAACAAAACTACTTTTAAAACATTAATTCTGGTATGAAATTTTGATAGTGGGGAAGGATCTGTATATGTGGGGTAAAGAGATATATTAGATATCTCACTCAATTATACTGTGAACTCAAAAGTGCTCTAAAAAATAGTCTTAAAAAAAATTAATGGCTCTATGGGACTACAAGAGCCCTAATTTTAAAAAAAAATAAAACATTTTTAACACATGTCGTAAGCATTTTGGGGTCATCTTATTAAAAAACCCTAAGAAAAGATTCCATTTTTTTGAATTAGTAAATTCCTTAAAAATTACGTCCACTTTTATCACACTATTATTTCATTCCTTTCTTCCTCTTTTCCTTTTATTAAATAACCATATTGTTTTCAAGGTTTTATTCATGACTAATGTAACAACCATAAAATTAATCTATTTTAATTAAGCTAGATTAATTTTATTTAGTCCAACTAACAGTTGTGTATGTAATCTTCACAATCCGGCTTGGGAATGATTCTGTCACCCTAAAAAGCTGCCTTGGATCCTTTTCCAGTCAATTTCTGCTCCCATGTCCAGATCCAGGCAACCACTGATCTACTTCCACATGTAAAGAGGCCTGCCTTTTCTCGAAATTTCCAATAAACAGAATTACTCAATATATTATCTTATGTCAGTCAGTTAATACAATGTTTTTGAAGTCATTCATTTTGTTGTACCAATCAACAGTTAATTCTTTTTTACTGCTGAGTGGTAGTCCATTACATGGACTACTACAATGTGTATATGCATTTATCAATTAGTTGATGGATATTTGAAATGTTTACAGTTTTTGGCTATCATGACTAATATTGCTGTAAACATTCCCAGAGAATCCTGTATAGATATATATTTTCACTTCTTTTAGGTACTTAGGACTGGATTTGCTAAATCATATAAACTTTTTAAGAAGCTGCCAAACTTTTCCAAAGTGGCTGTACAAATTTCAATTCCCAGTAAAATGTGTAAGGTTTCCAGTTTCCCCAAATCTCACCAACGCTTAGGGCAATCTGTTTTAAAAATTTTACCCAGTCTATAATAAAAACGCCCAGTCTTTTCCTCCTGCTTCTTCTTTACTCTCACACTACCACAACTCCCAACATTTCTGGATTTTTTCCCATACCAAGCAATTCTCTGTGCCACCACCTACAACTTAACTCAGTTCTGATACTGGAGATAGAGTCAAATCCCACAGATTAAGGGCTCAGTCTCACGAGACTCCCCCTACATCCAGTGTTAACTATAAGAAGTAGGTCCCCAAGTTACCCATGACTCCTGTCCAATTTGGCTACAAATCAACGGTTCCCACAACCCCATTCTTAGGTTCAATTAAGGACGGGTGATATACAAAGGGTAAGATATGTGGGAAAAGGCACAGAACTTCCATGCCCTCTCCAGGCATACCACTCTCTCGGCAACCCAGAATCTCTCAGAACCCCTTACTTTTTGAATTTTTATTGTGGCTTCATCATTTAGTCATGATTGATCATAAACTCCATTTCCAGCCCTTCTCCCTTCTCAAGAGAATGAGGCTAAAAATTTCGAATTTCTAATCATGACTTGTTCTTTCTTGCAAGCCCTTATCCTAGAGCCGTTCAGGAATTAACTGGGAGTTGCATTATTAGAACAAAAGACATTCTTATCAACCAGGTAAACAAGGGTTTCAGGAGGCCTATGTCAGGAATCTGGGGCAGAGATCAATATATATTTTTTTCTATTATTTTACAGCCAGTTTAGGAGATATATTAGTAGTATTTCAGTGTGGTTTTAATAGCTAATGATGTTGAACATCTTTTCATGTGCTTATTTGATATCCATACATCTTATTTAGTGAACTGTCTGTTCAAATGTTTTGCCTTTTCAAATTGCAATGTCTATTAGTGAGATGTAACTTGTCTGTATAGGCTGGATTAAAATCATACACGTGCACACACACACACACACACACACACGTACGCACGCACGCACACGTGCGCCTTAGAAGTATTTTCTCCAAGTCTATTGCTTGCTTTCTCATTTTTAGAAGTGCCATTTGAAGCACAAAGACTTTAAATTTTGAAGAAGTCTACTTTATCATTTTTTTCATAGGCCATGCTTTTGATGGTGTATCTAAGAAATCTTTGCCTAATCCAAGATCATAAAGACTTACTCTTTTAAGAACTTCATAATTTTAGGTCATACTTAGGTCACAGGTCTTACATTTTCTTCTAGAAGTTCTCCAATTTTACATTTTACATTTAAATCTATGATCCATTTTTGTGTATAGTGTGAAGTAAGGATCTATATGTCATTTTCTAATGTATGAATATCCAATTATTTCAGCACCATTTGTTGAAAAGACTACCCTTTTCTCCAATGCACTTACCTTGATATCTTTGTCAAAAATTGACTTATGAGTTTTTTTTCTTGAGTTTATTCTATTCCATTGATCTATTTGTCTATACCTACAGTTTTATAACTTTTAAAGTCAGGTATTTATAAATTCTTTTGTTGCTCTTTTTCCAAATTGCTTTAGCTCTTCTAGGTCCTTTGTATTTCTGTATCAATTTTAGAATAAGCTTCTCAATTTCTACAAAGAGACCAATTGGATGGTGATAGGGATTGCACTCTGTCAATAGATGATCCATCCGAGTTGTCCAATACATAGTAACAGCATATTTCTGCATTTATTTGGGTCATCTGTAATTCCTCTTTGTGATGTTTTCTAGTTTTTAGTGTACAGACATACACTTATTTTAAAACACCAGTAACAGACTTCTTACTTAAGCTTTAAGTCTGGTACCAAATTGCAATTGTGAACCTTGCAGAAGTTAATTAAGAATCATTCTGACACAATTTTAAGTTTGCCATACCTTATTCAAAATGGGATGAACAATGAACAGATAGTAAAGCTCTGTTATCTCATAAAGCCCAAGAATTTTAAACCATTCATAAAATTAAGTGGAAAAGAAGTTAATGCCTATCTCAAAGACAAAACTTGTCTTGACTATTTTCCCCCACAAAGGTGGTAATAGAAAACTAAGTAATCTGGTTTTCTTTCCTACCTCCTATTGAACCCAAGAAAATTCCATAAACTAATCATATTGAACACGAAAAATTGCTCTTTCTACATACACACACACATATGTGTATAAAATTAATACTGCAAACACAATCTAATACACTATCTTCAGTCCTTCTGATACAGTCTTTACAGCATGACTTTTGTCTCCAACTGTAAATGTATAAGCTTTCATGGAAGTATTATTTGTCAAATAAAATGGGGTTTAGATTTTATCAAAGGTTCATTTTATTAAATTTTTTTAAAAAGAACCTTGAAAGCTATGAATGTTAAAGAAAGGCTTTTCAATGAGAAACTCTTATTTAAAATGAAAATATTTTGCAATTCATAGTAGGAGCCATGTATAATTGCACAATTTGTAACAGCAAAAAAACAGAAACTGCTCAAATGTTCACTGACAAGAGAAGACATTATAAATTGTGGTATTTATTTACTGCATATTGCACATTATTGAATATTGTACTACACTAAAAATGAATAAATGGTAGCATATGCAACACGATAAATATTGTAAATGTAATATTGAGGGGGGGGAAATGAGTTCCAGAAGATTATTGTTTGGGCACACACGTACATTCATATGAAAAACTATTTTTTTTAGATTTATTTATTTATTTATTTTTAGAGACTGGAAGCCAGGGAGAAAAAGAGGGAGAGAATCATCAACGTTTGGTTGTATCACATGTGCCCCCTGTGGGGGACCTGGCCTGCAACCCTGGGAATTGAACTAGCGACCCTTTGGTTCACAGGCCGGTGCTCAATCTACTGAGCCACACCAGTCAGAGCCTCCATTGAGCCAAACAAGCTAGAGTCTATTTTTTAAAGAGGCAAGAGATAATACACACTACATGAGGATAGTAGTTACAGGGTGTAGGAATAAATAAAAATTCAAATTATTAATATTATTCTAGTTCTCAGGTTGAATGGAGGGTTTATATGCTTTATTACTTACATATGTCATCTAATTTTTTCTAAATATAGTTATTATATTACAATATTTTTAAACACACAAGCAAAATCTATTTTTAAAAATCAACTATTATAAAACATTTTACAGGAGCTTAACTGAGCACTCAGAATATACATCAAAAAAAAGTTTTTAAGTTTTTACCTTTTTTTCTGTTCCACTGCTTTGTCCAAGTGCTGAAAAATATCCTGAAACAGGGTGCAGCTGGATCGACTATTAATAGTATAACCATATCCTCTTTTCCAATACTGTTTCAGATCATTTAAATATTCTAATACCTAAAAATAAAAATTTCAAAAATCATTACTATTACACTTTTATGCACGTTACAGACTTCCTAATTCACATTTGCCATTTCAAGTATTTACTAAGTGGACCCAAAGATTCATGACACAAAGACATATTACGTTGATACACAAATTTCAATTGTGGGAATGTAGAGGATGGCATGCAAAGAGCAAGTTAGGACTCACAGCCAAAAATCCAGCATCCATCCTGGTTGGTGTGGCTCGGCTGGAGTGTCTTCCCATAACCCAAAAGGTTGCAGATTTGATTCTCGGTCAGTGCACATACCTAGGTTGTAGGTTCAGTTCCCATTCAGGGCACATATGAGAGGCAACCAATTGATTGATGTTTCTCTCTCACATTGATGTTTCTCTCCCTCTCTCTTTCCCTCCCTTCTCCCTCTCTAAAATCAATAAGCATGCCCTCAGGTGAGGATTAAAACACAAACAAAAAAGAAACACCAAAATCCCAGCATTTGTGACAGTTCAGAACAATAGGTTATTAAAGACATGTGCCCCTTTCTTCTAAAATTACATTAAGAAGGTAGAAATCAGATAGAAAATGAATTGCTTTGGTTCATGTATCAGTTTGGCAAAAACAAAAAGGAATAAAGGTAGACCAAGGATATGGAAAACTGGTGCTGCTGAAAAGAATGTTTATTGGTGTAGATATTCTAAAGGACAAATTGGCAAAATCCATAAAAACACACATCTCTAAGGCCCATTTAATTCCATTTCTAATAAAGTAATATTTGCAGAGGAACACAAGAGAATGTACAAAAATGTCTTAAAGCAGCACTGTTTATATGATTAAAAAAATTACTGAAAATGCCTAAGTATCATTATATAGGTATGTGATTAAATAAACTATAGTATATACATACTATGGAATACTATGCAGTTATTAAAAGTTAAATTGTAGATATACTAGTACTGACACAGAGACACTACGTAGTTTACATTTCTAAGAATGATACACATTATAAATAGCGTAAAAAAAGGTTGAAAGGTACAAATAAAACTGAAAGCAGTGATGAATCTCTGTAGAGTGGCCTTGAAATGGAGTAGGTGATTAAGGGAGCTTTTATCTCAATGTTAAACTTTTTACTCAAGTGTCATTTGATCAGATAAACACCAAAACTAGAGAACTAAAACCTGTAACCCAATAGGGGTACATGAGAAGCCTATGTAGTAGTTATGAGCCATTCTTCCCAAGAGTCCCTAGAAAAACTAAGTACAAGCCGTAAGTTTAAAAGCACTTAAAGAGGCAATTAATTCAAGAAGTTGGCATAAAAGTCCAAAGCAAACATTTTCAAAAAGGAAAAAAAGAAATTAAAAACAAAGCTCTATTAAGTTTATTCAAGAAATGAAAATGGTATCAGAAATGAAAAAGGGACTATAACTGGAGATTTAAAAAAAAAACATATCTGCATACCGTTAAAACTTTATATATCAGAAAGACTTGAAAATGTATGTGAATGAAATGGGCGGTTTTTCTAGAAAAGTATAAGTTACCTAAACTGACTATACAAAATAGAGTCAAAGGTCTACCTGAAACATACCAAGCATAGTTGGTTTTAACCATGAGTTCTACCAAGCCTTCAAGGAAGTTAGTTGCAAATATTTAAATTATTCCAGAACACAGAAAAAGATGGGGAGCTGCTTAACTCATTTTAGGTGGCTAATAGAAGCCTATTACCAAAACTGGAAAAAGAAAGCCCAAAGAAAAAGGGATGAGAGGAGAAAATTCAGACCACTGCACTGCAAGAGAGTTAGCACCCCATACTCTCACCCCCTAAATGCCAACAGTGATTCTTAGTCATTATTACAAACAAAAATTCCCCCTTACCTTTCTAACCCCCGCAAAGGGAAAGAAATAGGGCCAGGTCAGTAGTATCACTCACAAATGATAGCAACTGCTATAAACCAACCTCACTATAAACATGATTTAATGAATTTGAAGTGAAACATAACTGAATAAAATTTAGCAGTATACTAAAAAGGATGTTATCATCTGTCATAATGAAATAATTGATTCTAGTCATGCCTTTCTCACATAAACAAACAGAAAATGGAACAAAATAGCCCTAAAGTGAAAACAACCTAAATGTCTACAAACAAGATAATGGATTTAAAAACCAATAATTCATACAAGAGAATACTATACAACAATGAAAGTGAACTACAATTATGCACTGCATAACGTTTAAGTCAACAACAGATTACATATATATCAGTGATTCCATGTGACTATAATGAAAAATTTCTATTGCCTAGTAACATTGTAGTCATTATAACATCACAATGCAATGCATTATTCATGTGTTTAAGGTGACGCTGGTGTAAACAAACCTACTGCGCTGCCAATCACATAAATGTACAGCACATTCAATTATGTACCACACAATACTTGACAATAATAATAAATGACTATCCTACTGGCAGATATATTTAATATACTTTTTATTATTTTACAGTGTACTTATTAAAAAAGCTTGCTATAAAACAGTATGCTGTATGACGCTGGCAGTAACCTAATATACCTCATGTTTACAGGTCTCTGATTACATCATTTTCTCTGGTGTTTGAGAGTGCAGAACAGGCTATACAGGCTTATAGCCTAGGAGCAACATTCTACACCAAGCAGCCTAGGGGTGTAGTTGGTTATACCATCCAGGTTTGTGTAAGTGCACTCTGTGATGTTCACACAACACCACACTCACCTAATGACGCATTTCTTATTAGTGAAGTATATTCCTGCCATTAAGCAGTAAATGACTGTATAGTTATATGCAGCAGCATTACAGATAATCTTAAAAGCATAATGTTGAACAAAAACTAGGTACAGAAAAATACATATTGAGTATATTATAAATGTAAATTATATATTATTATATAAAATTCAAAAATAAAATTAAGTTTTTAAAAAAATAATTAGTAAGCTAATGTAATAAACTAAACTAATGAAGAAACTGTAGAAGCCCAAACATACATGTAAGTAATAATGGAGAAGTAATCTCAGAAACAGAGGGAAAATATTTTTTTAAACATGAGATAAAATTTACAAAGCTCTACAAATAATTCTGAAAACCCAGATGATATGAATGACTTTTATAAGAAAATATTAAATACCAAAATTGACTCCAGAAAATACAGGAAATCTAGATATACTCATTACAGTAAAAGATACACACAAAGTTGCAAAAAATTATCTCACAGAAAATTAGTTCATGAGTCATTTCTTTTGTATTTACCTACCATTAAATCAACTGCCTCCTTTATATATTACTATACCATGTATATTTCTATTATAGCCATCCCACTGTCTTGCAATCGTTTATTTGAGTCTTTCACTCCTTGTGGCATTCTTTGAGGATGATGCCTACCTAATGGTAGTAGCTTCAGTTCAACCAAGTACCTAGCACAAAGCAGGCACTAAAGCATATTTGCTGAATGAAGGCATACATAGTCCAGCATTTCACAAAGTCTTGGATACCTAATAATCTCCATAATTCTCAGAATGTCATGTCTATTCATTTTTACTTTAAAAAATTTTAATAAAGAATTTGAAACATATAAAAAAGAGGACAGTAGTGTAATAAACCCCTGTGTACTCACCATCCAATTTCAACAATAATTGTCATTTGACCACTTCTGTTTCAGTTATACCCCTACCACCACCACTGGATTATTCTGAAAGCAAATTCTAGACACCATTTTATTTAATCTGTAAATATTTCAGAAATATGTAAATCAGAGAACTTTCTATTTTTAAATGAAGACTAACTTATTTGCTTTTTATATAGAAGAAAAAGGAAACTCATATGCAATTAATTTAATAAACATGTATTTCAAATTTTCAAGTCATGATCAATTAAATGAGTTCTTTATTTACAGAGGAAAAGGTACCTCCACAATGCAGAAATCTGGCAGGCATAACTTTAATCAAATAATTAAACATATTATCGTCAATGATGTGACAAACTGACATCATTCCTTCTGATGTGATGCACTGAGGCAGATACATCACTTATATAGTATTTTTAATTTTCTTAAATTTTATTTATTGATTTGAGAGAGTAAGGGGGAGAGGAAGAGAGGTAGAAAGGAGCGGGGACAAGAGGGAGAGAGCGACAGGGGGGACAGAGACAGCATGGGGGGAGAAAGAGAGAGAAACATCGATTTGTTGTTCCACTTACTTATGCATTCATTGGTTGATACTCGTATGTGCCCTGACTAAGAACTGAACCCTTAACCTTGGTATAATGAGATGATGCTCTAACTAACTGAGTTACCTGGCCAGGGCTACAGTATTCTTGTCAAAAATGTATAAACCCCAGTTTCTAGTAAATATGGTGAAGTAGGTAACTGCGGTACTCATATCTTCCCACGACCCCATCAAAATTACAATGAAACTACAGAACAACTGTCATTGAGAACTGACTGAAGTCTAGCTGAGCATAAGTCCTACACCTAAAGATACACAGAAGCCACAATGCAACTGACTGGTAAGAGGAGTAGAGACTTGGAATTAGCCTGTCCCATACTCACCATACCCATGTGCTGCAGTTGACAATTGGAAGGGTACCTTGGCTGTGAAGTTCCTTGAGGAACAAGGAGTCCAGGCCCACACTAGGTGCCCAGCCCAGGGTTCCAGTGCCAGAAGGAGAGGACCCCATAACGTCTGGCTGTAAAAACCAGCAGAGATTGTGCCTGAATGACGCAGAGGGCTACTTGAAGTTTGATGTGTTCCTCTTAAAGACTGTCCCACAGACTTAATCAGACTAATTCTCTCTGAGAATTCTCTCAGCAATAAAATAGCAGCTAGAAAGGTACCAGGAACATAGAGGAGGAACTGAATTGTCTAGCTTCCTGGTGAGGGTCGGAGGGACAGCTTTCTCCCAGGCAGAAGTGCTGGCAGAAGCCATTGTTTCTTTGTTGAGCCCTTCCCCTTCTGGGCGGGGTGATAAAGGTGAAGGGATTAAGAAGCAGGAACTGGTAGCTACAAAACAGTCATGGGGATGTAGAGCATAGGGAAAACAGTCAATAGTATTGCAATAACAATGTATGGTGCCAGGTGGGGACTAGATTTATCAAGGTGATCACTTTGTAAGTTACAGAAATGTCTAATCACTAGGTTGTACAACTGAAACTAATTTAATATTGCATGTCAACAGTAATTGAGAAATAAAAAATTTATAAATGTTTAAACCCCAATCTAATCATAAGTAAAAACTCAGACACACAAGTTGTCAGTTTTTAGAAGTAAGGGACCACATGGATAGAGCCATTCAAAATAAGAAATGGGCAGAGAGCAGGAGGCCAGGTGAGCACATGCCAGATAGTCCTACAGCTACAGTAACTTGGGCAAATATGTTGTTCTTATGTTAAAAGGCAAATTTCCTTTTTGCGAACACCCATCAGTCATTTACACAATACTGAAAATTACTTCAATTCTGTTTATTGGCTTTCTTCCACTGAGCAATCTGAGTAGGGAAAAAAGGGAGGTGAGGTATTTTGACAAATGTGAATGGTGACCATAACTCCCAGTTTATACCTATACTAGCATACTTACTAATGATGCTCATTTCACTTTATTTTTAAAAAAGATTTTCTTTATTTATTTTTAGAGAGAAGAAAAGGGAGAGAGAAAAAGGAGATAAACATTGATGCAAGAAAGAAACACTGATTGGTTGCCTCTCATATGTGCCCCAACCGGAGACTGAACCCACAACCCAGGCATGTGCCCAAATGGGGAACTGAACTGGTGACCTTTTGCTTTGGGAGATGACCCCCAACCAACTGAACCACACTGGTGAGGGTTCATTTTACTTTAAAAATATCACAATTTAAAAAATAAATTTTATGATCATCCTAAGCATAGGGCATATCAAAGGAGGGTACACCAGAAAGTTTCTGAGGTGATTAAGTTAATGGACAGTTAAGAGAAAAGAAGGATATTGAGTACCTGAGACAAAGAAAAAGCAGACCATCAGGAAATTCCAGAGCACAGAGGGGAAATACAATACACCTATTACTACTGGTGCTCAGCATCCTTGAGCAACCATCCATTGAGGGCCCTTTCCCCTTCTTCCAATCCACCCACTAAGCCTTAGTCCCGTACTGGAACACCACCACCTTTAATCTCCTTGCTGGTCACTTAAGCCTTTGAGGAACAAAATAAAGCACTCACTTACCTTCAAATGTACATTAGCTCTCACCTGAAAGGCCTACAAATACTACACTGCTTTTTAAAAATTAAAGTTAAATTTTGAACTTAACGTATTTTCATATGGAATACTGAAGGTTTCATATGTATACGAGGAATGACTAAGGTTTCAAAAGTTCATACAGCTGAATGATCCATACATATAAAACATATCCTACTTTCATCCACCAGAATTCTGTCCAATGCCGCAATCCGCAATACTTAAAACTTAACTGTCTCCTACCTCACCTGTCTGGCTTCCAACATCCCAGAAATGACAACAATTTGCCTCTCTCAAAGTCACCAGAGGCCTATCTGCCCTTCTCTTTCTGCAGTCTAAAAGTCTACAAAGAAAGTATATGAATGAAGGGAAAAAATATGAAGTAGATGGACAAAATGTAGGTGAATTACTACCATCATCAGGTGGAACAGAGCTCAATTTATCATGAAAACTGTTATAAAAGAAATAGGTATTTGAAAAAACATTCATGTTCTCTGAGCCTTGGCATCCTATAAAAAAAGAATTTAAATGGTATCAGCTATATAATCCTTTCCAGGAATAAAGTCTGATGTTTGGTTAAACAGGTTTTTAACTGGGTAGACCTAGAAAGCAAATCACAATGGAAAAATGTTTTCCAGAATTTTATGAACCCAAACCAGTTATAAGTAGGTGGGCCCTATCTGAAAAAGCAATCTCTTTAGGTATGAAAAATTATGAGTTAGTCAAAGACAGTTAGTATTCTCTATTCTGCTAATTTTTTTGAGAAACTACTTCAAGTAACAACAGCACAAAAAAAAATCATCTGAAAAAGGCAAAGAAACTGCAAAATTAATACTTACTTTTGCATCATCTGTGTCAAAAACATCACACCAAGGAGATTTAACACCTTTAATTGCCAGGTCAAATGAACAAGTGAAAAAAGCTACCTGGATTAAATCTGGGGGGGAAAAAAGGTAAAATTTGTCGGTTACTATTTCTGCAATTTCCCAAAGGCTAAATATCTATAAAATGCCATGTACAGTACAGCTGAATAAACTGGGTAAACACAGTTTGAAGGGCAGACTATTTGGTTTCTTCCTTGCTATCAAAGAATTAAGACTTATGCTATACAATCCAAAGGGAAGGAACTGGAAACTTCTGGAGAAACTATGATGAGGTGTAAGTTTCAGCCAAATGAAACTAAATAATTTTCTCCATGAAATGGTAATTATTTTTCTGTTTTTAAAAATAATATATTTGTTAAGTGCATGCTTGCCTGCCAAACCCAACAGAAAGTTTAACTCAAGGACTTACTATTGTATATAAAACATAATTTGACTTTAATTTTAGAGAGCTGGAGGAAGGAAAAATTATAAAAAGTTTTAATCTCCAAGTTGAAAATGAAGAATGACAAATTAAATTTCCTGAATAGTTCTTACAGCTACACAACGATTCATATCATAACTATTAAAAAAAAAGCAAGTACAGAGAAGGTTATGAAATGGCAGAAGAGTGCAGAAGGTAGAAAGGGAAGAAAGGTCAGAGTAAGTAAGGGGTACGAAGGAAGATGAAACAAAGAGTCAAGAAGGGTCAACAAAGGGTTAAACAAAACAAAACAAAAATCATACACTGAAGGAGAGAGGCTTATAACAACATGTGTTTTTCAACCTTGGCTGCCCAATCAGGCCTTGGATTTCAGAATAAGGTACCTGGGATTTTTACATTGCTTAACAGCTGATTACATTACTTTTAGTTGCATACGGGTTTTGAAGAGAAGGGATAAGGGAATAAATACTTAGGCTACAAAAGGTAGCCTCTGTTAGCACCAAATAAAAATACTGCTCTTCATTTAAGGGCAAGTAGGTGGTATTTAATGTTACACAGAGAGCAAAGAAGTCAACTGCAAGGGTTTGACTCCATTGCTTTAATTTTTCTTTAACTTCATTGCCTTTCTTTTCCAAGGAAAATGGAGCAAAAAAAAAAAAAAAAATTGATCTTACATGCTTTTTGCACTAGCTTTGAGTTTGCAGTACATAGTACAAAAAAATATTTATTTGGGAATATACAAAAAAGCCATTAAAAAGGTTGCTTATATAAGTGAAAGGGTTTATAACCCTAATATCCAATATAATATAGTGGCTTTTAAATACCATTTATATTTGATGGAAGATCACAGATTCTCACACTCAAAATTCTAGTTATGAAACTATGAAAGTCAGTCTACATGGTATATTGTTTAACTGGATGGGAGCTGACTAGAAAAAAGTTCACCAAAAACTCTTAGAAGTATTAATACAGGGCGAAAAAGCATAAGATAACTGAGGCTATGAAACCTGAATCTGCCACTAGTTAGAAAAATCATTCTAGGTTCTTTGGGTCTCAATTGTCCCACCTGCAAAACAGGGAGTTTTGACAAATAAATAACCTTTTATGATGAGCTATGGCTCTGATGCATCTATTACATTATTCTGACATCTGGTCAGTTTTTGGAACCTCAAAAATATTTCATATGAATTAGAGATTTAAACATTAAAAAAATTAAGTAAAGGAAGACATAGGAAGATATAATAATGTTGGGGTAAGAGAGAATTCCTGGGCAAAATACAGCACTCAGAAGCTATAATGAAACGACAAACATGGCTATGTAAGAGATGTAAGCTTCTGTATAATTAAAGGCATAAAAGACAAGCCACAGCTTTTTAAAAATGCCCCAGAGACTGGTTTGTGCTTCTCTAATTGAGACTCTAGGCTCTTGGGCTATTTCTGGTGCTGGCACGGCTTGACTAAGGGATGTGCATTTGCTACTAGCTGTGATGGAGCCACAGCACCCCATCGCTCTGCAGTGCCCAGCAGCATCGCTCTCAGCAGTCCGAGCGCACGTTGCAGCCCAGCGGCCGGCAGAGCTTGCGCACCCCAGCCATCACTGCTCCACCTGCCGTGTAGATAGATGATGAGTGAGTTGAGATCCAAGTCAAGCCAACGCTTGGCCTTCAAGCAAGAAAAGGATGGCACTGAGAAGCGATGCCAGAGCAGGCCTCACAAGCAGCCTCTGAAGGAGCCCAGGGAAGTGCCAAAACCTAAGAGACCTTGGGGATGACCAAAGGGGAGCAAAAACAAGGGCACTGTCAAGACCTGGAAAACCACCATGACTCCAGGGAGGAAACAAAGGGGCAGACTCAAAAAACTGGAGAAGGAAGAAGAGGGCATCGTGCAGGAGTCCTCAGAGCAAGAGTAGTGACTATACTGCAGAAGAATTTCCTTCTGGGACTGGACATTTTTGCTCCAACTGCCCCACAGTCACCACCACCCTTCTACCTTCTACCCCCTACCCCTGTACCCACCAGTACCACCACACTACCCAGCACACCAGTTGCTGCAGGGCCCCAGTGGCCCAAGTGGGGAGCAGTCTTTCTGTGGTCGGAGTTCCCAGCGACCCATTTCAACCATCCACGTGCATTCACTTGCCCTCCTCCAGCAAAGCTTACTTCCCGTTTAGCCATACCCTGTACTTGCTGCTGCATTCCCTCTCCCTCAGAGGTAGGGACATTGCTGACTGGGTACCCCTAACCTTTAAGGCGTCCAACTTTTCTCTGACTCAAGATGCCCTGACCAACCTGAATCTCAGCAGGAGCAGCTCATACCCACTACACTTTCTCCCCTGCCTTGCCTAGTCCCTGCACTAGGCTGGACAGTCCCCCTTGGGGCAGAGGAAGAAAGACAGAGGGGTGTTCGCCTGCTTCCACTCTAGGCCTCAAAATCCCCCTTCCTTCACATGGGGCACTACTAAGAAGGAGCTAGCCTTGCACCCCCCCACCCACGACTCCCCACCGCACAAAGTTCTGGTCCCATCTTTCCTCTGTTCACAAACTACCTCTGGACAGTTGTTTTTTGTTTCGCTTTTCCCACTTAGACATCTGTCATTGACATTGCTACCAGCGCCAAATGTTTATCCTTATCACTTCCTATCTAAGATGCTCTTGGGAAGGGGCTGGGAGGCCTGTTTTGACCACTGAGAATGTAAGGCCACATTTTCTCCCTGTTCTGCAGGGAAAGGGGAATGAGGTAGCCTTATTTGTTACAGCCTGGGATTCCCCTCTGGTTTCCTATTTGTGGTTAACAAATATGTGGTTAACACACACATACACACACATGCCCTCCCCCCCACACCCCGCCCCGCTTTCTGGAAAAAAAGAGAGGCAACAAATTAAGAGAAAATGTTAGCAAAATACAATAGGCAAAGGATTTATCCTTCATCAAGCAAAATTAAGGGATATATATTATAATAAATATATCCCTAACACATATGGACATAAGACATGATCAGTAAGAAAACCATAACAATAGTTCAACAGAAAGTGGACAAGGTATAAAGAGACAATTTTCAAAAGGAATGAAAATAGCTAATGAACGTGAAAAGAAGTTCACCTTCCCGAGTAATCAAAGAAATGCAAATTAAAGCTAGATAGCATTTCCTGTTAATCAAATTGGCAAAAGTCAAAATGATTAATATCTACTATTGAATGAAATAAGGGAAAATGAGCATTCTCATCTGTTATTCATACAAATTCTTCTACACTTTCAAAGAACAATTTGGAAGTTTATGTCAGGATGTAAAATATTCATGTTCCTTAACGCAACAATTCCACCTACAGTTATTTAACTTATAAACTCTTAAGTGCAAAAACCAAACTATAAGAATGTTCACTGTAGTGTCATCTGAAAAAGTTAGAAAATGAGAAAACCTCAGTAGCAAAATGATTTCCTATAAAAAGAATCTGGACTCTAATAGCTCCAGCCCTTCCCACCAGTAAAATTTGATGATGGGTTGAGTACTTAAGTTTTTAACTAGCACTGACCTTTAAATTAAAGCATATATCCTATGAAACAACATAGAATTTAAAAGAATGAGACATATATTGCTAAGTTTACAGAAATTACATACAGCATCACCTTTCTATGTAAAAAAAAGGCATTTAAACAGCTAAAATATTTTTGAGCAGTTATTGTGTGCCAGGTACTGTGCTAATATTTTGCAAAAATTAATCTCAACTTCTGGTATATGTAAAATACACTTCAAGAGTGGAGGTATAGGTAAAAATGGCTCACCCCCTTGCACAACCAGAGCAAATGTTACAGCTAGACTACAAAACAGTTATCACTCAGAATCGTCAGAAAATCAAGCTGTATGAAAGTCTGACAACCAAGGAATTAAAGAAGCCACATTCATCGACATAGGTAGGAGGGGTGGAGATGTGGAGATGTGGAATGGGTGGTCCCACAACCAAATATGGTAGATAAAAATCAGAAAGATACCTTGGGAGAGAGGGATCCCAGCCCCATGCCAGACCATCCACCCCAAGGTCCCAGTCTCAGGAAGATAAGTCCTCATAACTTCTGTCTGTAAAAATCAGTAGGGGTTGGGGGAGTGAAAGAAGCTGTGGAGATATCGCTCAGGCATAAGGGAATCAATTAACCTGCCTTTTGTGCGCTCTGCACACACCTTGGGCATGTGAGCTGGGGGGCTGAGTGCAGACTGGCTGGGAGAGCCTTGAGGAGGGACTGGAGACGGAGGCGCTGGGGAAAGAACGGGAGGAGGAACCGGGGAGTAACGACTCCCTCCCCGTTCCGTAGTCTCCATTGTGGGCTGGAAAGGCGCGACCCCAAAGAGGCAGAAGCAGGGCGCGCAGGAACAAGACTGCCTGCGATTGAAACGCAGGCAGCACAGGTGGTGGATCCTTGGCCGAAGGGGACACAGAACTTCCCAGAGACCCCTGAGGAGAGACTAGAAATGGAGGCGTTGGGGAAAGAACGGGAGGAGGAACCGGGGAGTCCCGACTCCTTCTCCTTGCTGTAGCCTCCATTGCGTGGGAAGAGGCCACACCCCCAAAGAGCCAAAAGCCGAAAAGCACACATAGACACCCCTAAAACATCCAGTGCAGGCGCGCACACTTGCGCCGA